TAAAATGCAAATAGTTCAACATTATGAGTAATTACCTTTTAAATGTTTGTTGTCTTTTTCAGTGTACGGGATGACAGAATTCGAGTTGAAAGGATGGATAACATTAATTTTGAATACAGCCATGCTTTCCAGGCAGTTACAGATTTTTATACAAAAGATGTAGGTGACATCAAAGGTAAATATTTTATCCATATGTCCACTAATTTAACCGAGTTAGATTTGGATGAAGGTGTCAGTTTGGCTTTCAATCTAATAAAAACTAGGTCATTAGGTTATTATTGGAGGTTATTGGTTCAGTGTTAGAATCTTGCCTTTGATTGCTGGCCAGTGTACTTCATGTGTATCCATCATTGTTCAGTGGAGGTTTGTGTGCTGCTGTGGTACCCAGGGGAGCTTCAAGAATCAGATGGACTAAGAAAAAAGGCTTGGTGATCTCCTTCTGAATATCAGTCAGTGAATACCGTATGCATCCAAAGGATAGCATCTTCAACTGACATGATGCAGGACTGGGCAGCATTTCATTGCGTTATGTGTGCGTTTCACGATAGCTAGCAAAAACAGCAAGCCATTTGTAATAAACAGCTGAAGGAGGCCAAGGAAAGAGTTCTCTGTTTTCACACTCATCAATAACTTCACTGAAGCTTCTTCCTTTTTAATTGCGATGTTTTAGCATCTTGATGGTTTTGACGCATTCATTGGATTGTAAGGAAGAGATAGTTTGTTCTCCTACTTTCCTCTTTGCTTCTCTTAAAGATGACTCAGTTACTATCCTCAGAATTTTATACAATACTTGGACAGATATTCTGCTTAAGGCTGATGTTTTGAAAGGTTCATTGCCAGAATTAAAATACCAGGACGGTAGTGCCAGGGTTTAACTAAGTAACCATTATTTGTCTTCACTTGCATTCCATCCAGCATGCATCAGTACTCGATTTGGCCCTGCTGCTTATTCCTGGCAGCCTAGCTAAGGCTAAGACAATAAAAGGAATAAGGTACACCGTGTGTTAGAGGCGATAAGGCTTGTGAAGATAAGAGACAGGAAAGGGATTGCACTTTTTAAGTAGAGTGATAAAGAAAAACCTCAGTGAAAAATGGCATTGAACAAAGATATGAAGGAATTAAGGAGAAAATCCACATAGATGTGTGGAGGGATAATATTTCGGGTGGAGGGGACAGTAAGTGCAAAGTGTCTTCTTGTACTAGAATGTGCTTGGCATGTTCAGGGAACAGCAAGGAGCCTGTGTGCTGGAGCAAATTGTCTGAGGGGAGAGTGTTAGAGGCATAGAGGGTATGGGAGGCTGATTCTTCAGGCCTCATCTTCCACTGTAAGGACTTTGACTTCTACGCTCAGTGAATTGGGGATTTTAGAGAATTTTAAAAGGACCCTTACGATTGTTGTATTAAGAATATTTTGGGTGTTTTTTTTGTTTGTTTGTTTTACATTCAGCACATCACTTTGTTTCAACTTGATGATTGCATTCCCCTCCATGCAGCAGCAGTTATCCTGCTTCCTTCCTCTGGGTCTCCATTTACATCTTATATTTAATAAATGAACAAAGAAAACATTTTCACATATATAAAAAAATTATATTTGTTTAAACGTCCAAAGGGCACATTCTGAAAGCTAGCTTCCTGCCCACAGTCTTACTCAGTCCATGGGCCTAGATCCCACAGCTCCTGTGTATCTCTTTGCCTTCGTCTCTGTCACTATCTGCTATCGCTGCTTTTCTTATAGGTAGGGATCCCCCGTTCTACTCAGATGACCATGGGTCTTGCAACTTATTTTCCTCACTCAGTAATATATTAGGGATAACTTTCTGTATTAGTAAGACGCCCTAGTGTTACAGTAGGTAGAACTGGACTGCTATCCATAGGTCAGTCATTCAAACCCATCAGCTGGTCCACAGGAGAAAGATGAGGCTGTCTGCTCCTATCCTGATTTACAGTTTCGGAAACCCTAAAGAGTAGTTCTTCTCTGATTTATAGAATTAGTATGAGTTGGCTTCGATTTAGTAGCTGTGAGTTTTCTCTCTATAGCTATAAGTCATTTCTTTTAGTAATTACATGGTAATCCAGACTTACTAGACAGTTTTAAACTATTATCTTACTGATGATCATTTATGTTGTTTCTAGTATTTAACTAGATTTTTCTTGTAAAATATCTTTACAAGGAAAATTCCATCCCAATTTTTTGTATATATACCCTTGACATGCATGTTTTGGAGTAGTTCTCGGTTAAAGGGATGAGGATTTAAAGTTCGAAATTGTTTGCGATGTTGTTTTCCAAAGAGATTCACTCTATCAACGGAGAATAACACCCTTTTCCTCATGTCTTAATCTATTAGAGTTTTCCACAGGGAAATTTCAGAAGGCATTTTCTAAAATCACCGTTAAATACTTTGTGTTCAACTTAAATTTTGCTCTGATAATGAATAATAATTTTAATGAGGGTATACTCTTTTTTTTTTTTTTTTTTTAAGATGCTCAAAATTTTGCAGGCATCACAAACCTGGAGAAGCCTGTGATTTGCTGTTTGTCTGCTGTAATAAAACACCTCAAGGAATTTAACCTGGAAAAAATGTTCTCCAAGCCCAAGTAAGGCATTTCTCAAACAAACAAACAAACAATTAAAAAAAAGGAAGGGGTCATATAGTAAAGTTTCTGAAAGTGATTGTGGTTACTAGTATATTCAGAAACGTTTACCTGGTATTGCTAGAATCCCCCATTTGGGATAGTGGAAGTGGGGTGGGGAGGAGGGGCAAGGTTGAACTGTTTGGTAGTGTTGCTGAGAGATATGGAAAAATATTGATTGATTTAATAGCACTGATAAGATTTTATAAGAATCCAGTCAAAGAGTTACTCATGATAATTATGTAGTGTATAGGAACCCTGCTAGTAGATTACGAGCTGGACTGCTTACTGTAGTACTGTGCTTTACACTACTGAATGGAGATGTAGTATTGAAAAGATTTATAAAATTTCAGCATCATATTTTGGGCTTCAGTTTCTATTTTATAGACCAAGAAGTTGGAGGTAAAGGGGCCGCCTGCTAATATAGACAGCTTTTTTATAGATTAGCTTTATAGGTATTCTAAGGTTTATAAGCTAACAGTAGACATACATGGAAAAATACTAATTCAATATCAAGCAAAATAAAGTTGATACTAAATTTTTTTATTTTACCTTCCCAGCCGTCTCTTTGGTTCTGTTAAGAATTGCTTTCCATTATACTGATTTGGGGGAGCATGTTGGCTCCACACCATAAATACTGGGTCTGAGGTTTGAGCCCATCAGCTGCTCTGTGGGAGAAAGATGAGGCTTTCTGTGCCTGCAAAGATTTAAAGCCTTGGAAACCCTATACAGTAGGATTGGTGTTAGTCGGAACCAATCGGTGGTCCTTAACAATAACAACAACATTCTGATTTTAGGGAGTCTTGGTAGCACAATGGTTAAGTCGTAGGCTACTAACCAAAAGGTTGATGATTCAAGCCCCGTGAATGCCTCTGTGAGAGAAAGAGCTGGTGATCTGCTTCCATGAAGATTACAGCCAAGAAAACCCTGTGGTGTACTTCTCTTCTCTCACTTAGGGTCATTCTGAAGTGAAATGGACTCACTGGCACTTAACAGCAACATATTGATTCTGGATAAGTAAGCTACTCCCCTTTTTAAGAAGTGGGTGGAGAGATAGAAGCAGACTCAGTTGAATGGCAGGACATGAATTGAAGAATAAAGAGATATTGTTGGGCCTAGGTTTTTTAGGAGATTCAAAAGAAAGGCAGTTGCATGAAAAGTCTTTTGTGATTATTTCTGTTTTTAAATTTGGTGTGGCACTGTAGGATAAACACTGGATTGGTAACCACAAGGTCAGTGATTCAGACCCCACCCACTGCTCCATGGAAATCTTGTACAGCGTGGCTATGCCTTGAAACCAACTTGATGGCACATAACAACAGAGCAAATTAGTTTTCCACTCAACAATTCACGCACATTTTGTTTCATGACGTTGATTGCAAACTGCGTAGTGTTTCTGCTCGCTTCCTCCCTGGGTTTCTGTTTCCATTTATGCTTCTTTCATGTTCCTTCTTGCTTTCTGAGCTTTGTCCCTGGGCAAATGCTGTACTCTTCTTCTGGTTTGGTTGATTGTTCTAAGGAATGCTTACTTGATTCACCTTGTAGGTCTGACTATTGTTAACTGAAAGTTGATCCATGATGCTGAGTTCAGTTCTAGGTCTCAAGGGTGTCTAATGGCCGTATTCCTGGGGGTTCCATCGGTATCTACTAGACCAATAAGCCTGGTTTTTATGATTTTTAGTTTTGTTCTACATTTGTTACCAAATCTATCCAAGGCCTGATATTATGATCCCAGTCAGGATGGTCAGTAGTGCTAATTCGGACCATCTAGTTCTCTGGCCTCAAGGTCATGGATACTGAGGTTCACATGGTCCACTAGTCCTTTGAACTAATTGTTTTCCTGCATCTTTGATTTTCTTCACTCTTCTGTGGTCTAGTCGTAATGTCTTTTTGGTGCGTATCCTATTGTGTGGTATTTAGGATAGAACAGAATTTATTGTTTGCCTGCAAAACAGTTTTGTCCTTTTGAAAGCAAGCTAATTGTTCTCTAGCATAAGAGTGGATTCATTATTTATACAATGGAATGTTATACACGAGTGAACATGAATGATGAGCTAGAGCTATACGTATCAGTATTAAAAATTTTATGTATAATCTGTTGATCCAAAATTCAGATTACTGAAGTATGTACCATTTTTTGTATTTACTCAGTATGTACCATTGTATAAAGTTGTTGTTAAGTGTTGTTGAGTTGGTTCCTATTCATAACAACCCTGTATAGGGTTTCCAAGGAACAGCTAATGGATTTGAACTGCTGACTTTATATAAAGTTAGAAATATGTAAAATAGTGCTGTATACAAGGGGGTTTCAAAAAGTTTGTGGAAAAATGGAATTAAAAGATAATGAAATTTTTTGAAGCCAAGAAAGATGAGGCTTTCTGTTCCCATAAAGATTTACAGCCTCGGAAACCTTGTGCAGGGTCACTATGAGTTGGAACCAACTCCATGATACTTAACAACAACAACAACATTGGTAACAATAGGAATCCTGGTGTGGCGCTGTGGGTTAATGCACTAGATTGCATAGTCAGTTTGAACTGCATCACCAGCCGCTCCTTGGAAACCCTATACAGGGTTGCTATTGGTCGAAACTGACTTGGCAGCACTTATCAGAAACCCTATAAAGGGCCACTGTGGGTCAGAATCAACTCAACAGCACTTAACAACAATTGTTAATAATATCTATATATGTAGGGAAGGTATAAAGACATGCATGGGAATGATAAATAAGAAATTCAGAAGAAAGGTTTCTCCTTTCCAGTGGTAAATGCGGGAAAACTGTCCACAGGGAGTTTATTGCTTAACCTGGGTGATGTTAATATGTAGTTTAAATAAAATCTGAAATATTTCATTTAAAAAAATCTCATTGAATTGTACCTTATGCTCCAATAATAGGAGCTTATTATAGAGATGGGTCGATATGGTTTGGATTGTGTTGGATCCTCATAAAAAAAGAGGAGAGCAGCTAACTACCATTTGACTATTCATTGAAAGGACTCTCTAGCTTTATAAGCTAGTTAGTGAATAATAGCTTACCTATTAAGATATATGTTTTCTGTTTGTCCTTATCACTCAGCCAAGCAAAGAAGTATTGTATTTGAATAAGCCATTAGTTTTTCTTTTTCTTTCTTTTTAAAAAATCAGACTCTGATGTGTTTAGAAGTAGATGAATTTGGACCTCAAAAGATGATTGTGGCTTTCTCTTATTAATTCAAAGTAAAAATAATACTAAATAGCAAAACCAGTATATATAGATTGTTGTTATTTTTGTTAAATACCATGGAGTTGGCTCTGAATGAAAGCACATCTGTACAGGGTTTCCAAGGAGGTGAGTTAGAACTGCTGACCTTGTGGTTAGCAGTCTGGTGCTTATCTTACAGTACCACGCCAGGACTCCTTATATATAGATATTATACTTTGAATAGTTTATTTGTAAATTATCTGAAGGCAGACCTCTCACTAAGTTCATTGAAAATGATCTTTACCCCTTTATGTGTGGTGTTGGCATGTGCTCAGGTCATTGACTCCACTGCTGCCTTGTTGTTGTTGTCAGGTGCTGCCAAGTTGGTTCAGACTCATAGCGACCCTCTGTAGGGTTTCTAAATGAGCATCTTGTGAGTTTGAACCACTGACCTTGTGGTTAGCAACTCAGTGCTTATCCTGCAATGCCACATCAGGACTCCTTATTACATGTCTAATCTGTCTGTCGGGTTAATCCCTTTAGCACACAGCATATGCCCAGCACCCAGTAGGCAATGAGTAAATACAAAACAAATGAATGAAGAAAGAAATCGTCATGCTGTATGGTGGACTTGGATTGTTTTTCTTCTTTAATTGTCAAGATGGCATTGAAGCCAAGATTAACGAATAAAGGTAGTGATACAACTGGCACTATTGATCTGCTTAAAAATGAAATATGAGTGATGATGTTTTTATTGGTGGTGAGCAAACAGACTCTGAAGATGATTTCAAAAGAGTAATTTTTGTTTTTGGAAAAAGAGTGTAACCTTCCCAGATGAAAGACTGAATGCTTGCCTCCAAAAATTAGAAACAAGACAAGAATGTCTTCTCTTGCCACTTCTGTTTAACATTGTACTGAAAGTTTGACCTTGGGCAGCTAGGCAAGAAAATGAAATAAAAGATTGGAAAGGAATAAGCAAGAATGTGTTTATTCACAGATGATCTGATCTTGTATCAAAGTCACATCCCAAACAAAATTATTATAAGAAAAAAAAAAAAAAAAGAGCAGAATAACATCTTTCCAGGTGTGCCAGAAAGACATGCCCATAAATGAAATAAAAATTGTAACGATTGCATGATGAGCAAAAAGATATTAAGAATACGATACAAGATGTGAAAGAACAGCATGAATGAGAATTAGAAAAATTCAGAAACCAAGAGATAGGATTTAAGAAGGGATGAATAATTAAAGAAATTATAGATCTCTTTAGGAATAAAGACTAAAAGAGAAGGAGCACAAAGCAAATAAACATTATAACTAACACTTAGAGAAAAAACAGAGTTTGAAAAGGGAGATATGTAGAAAAGAGTTAAACACAGCAAACGTAAGACTCCGGTCCTTAGAAAAGCCTGTTTTTGAGATTGGCTCTTGGCTCGTGTCTTGAACTTTGGATGTTTGGTAGCATTCCTACCATTTTCTCATAAGCATCTCTCTGTGTTGAAATTTTTTGTGCAAACAGCATGATTTGTGTTAAACACTTGCTTTCTTTTTGGGGAGCTAGGATTTTAGTACATGCCCATGTAACCAGCCCCCAGTAAAACCTTGGGCACTGAGTCTCTTGTTGGACAACCTGTGTTGTTACAGCTTGATGTTAAGGTCGGGAGCTTGTGTCTGTTTTCTTCTGGATTTTGTCTCATGTGTCTTTTTGCTTTTCTCATTTTGCTTTGTAATTTTTCATTGTGATAAGTTATAGCCATGAGTAAAAACAAAACAAAACAAAACA